CACACCAACCTTTCACGGACACCATCGCGCTCTCGGGCACGCCCCCTCTCTCTCCCTCTCTCTCTCTCTCACACACACACACACACCAACCTTTCACGGACACCATCGCGCTCTCGGGCACGCCCCCTCTCTCTCCCTCTCTCTCTCTCTCACACACACACACACACCAACCTTTCACGGACACCATCGCGCTCTCGGGCACGCCCCCTCTCTCTCCCTCTCTCTCTCTCTCACACACACACACACACCAACCTTTCACGGACACCATCGCGCCCTCGGGCACGCCCCCTCTCTCCCTCCCTCTCCCTCTCTCTCCCCCTCCCGCTCTCTCTCTCTCTCGCCCTCTCTCTCACACACACCAACCTTTCACGGACACCATCGCGCCCTCGGGCACGCCTTCTCTCTCTCTCTCCCTCTCTCTCCCCCTCTCTCTCTCTCTCTCGCCCTCTCTCTCACACACACCAACCTTTCACGGACACCATCGCGCCCTCGGGCACGCCTTCTCTCTCTCTCTCCCTCTCTCTCCCCCTCTCTCTCTCTCTCTATCTCTGCCTCCCGCCCTCTCTCTCTCTCTCTCTCTCTCTCTCTCTTTCTCTCCCTCTCTCTCTCTCTCTCTCTCTCGCCCTCTCTCTCACACACACCAACCTTTCACGGACACCATCGCGCCCTCTGGCACGCTCTGCTGCCTGCGCAGCCGATGCTGCATCCGCTTCATAGTGCTTATGAACGCGGTCGGGTTCGAGTGGCGCTTCCGCTGGGGGTCGCCGCCGAGGTCAAGGGTCGCAGACGCGGCGTGGGCGGCGGGGGCGGGGGACGAGTCAGGACTCGCGTCGTCCATCGGCGACGTGCCGAGTGACGGGCAGAGGGCGCCACCGCCGGAATCTTCGTCGTCGCGCGGCGGCGGCGGCCCATCCGTCTCCTCGCCGTGCTCGACGATCGTCGGCACGGCAACGACGTGCTGCTGCGTCACGTGATCCGTCACGTGGTCCGCCGCGTTCGACTCGTCCTCGCCGCCGCCATCTTCGCGCATCGGCGCGGCGAGGTAGGCTCGCGCGGCGGCGGTGCCCGTGTCGCCCGCCGCGTGATTGACTGCACAGAACAACACAACTCCTAGACAATCAAATTGTGCTCGCCTCGCATGTGGAAGGTCGGGTGTTCAACTCCCGGCCGGGTCATATACCAAAGACTTGAAAAATGGTACACACGGCTTCTCTGCTTAGCATTCAGCAAATAAAGATAGAGTGTGGCAAGTTAACTCGCAGTGCTGTGCAACCCCCTACTGTAGCTTTTACTGTGAAAGCAGCTGCGGGGCCTCAGGGTTCCGGAAACGGAGATAGGCACCGCCCTATGCGCCATATAGGCGCGGAAAGGATTGAACTAACTTTAGATAATCAATCGTTCACCCATCGTGTCGCCAGGAAGCCAGGTTTGGTCCGCGTAACTGTGCAACCGATCGAGTGATTTTTCTGATATGATTTCGCAGAAAGATTCGATGAGCCGATCGAGCGATAGCAGTTATTTGGACTCCGTCTCTATCTCATCGCTATCTTTGAATTATATATCGAACGTTGATTAGGAGATATCCGAGTCAAGCTATATATAGTGTCGTGGGTTTCTAGACTGTCGTACGTCCGTTGGGTGGAAGTATGTTTCTAGAGTAAGACTGTCGCACGAGTGTTGTGTGGAAGTGGGAAAGTTCGATGACAATGAAATAATCAACTGCCTCTACATGATGTATAGCTCAAATCGCTTGAACTCAATTTCAAGCCTCAGACAGCAAAAAATCAACTATCTAGGAAGGTTGTTAAAATCATCTACAATTAAAAGCAAGCAGTTAGTCATCAGCAGACAGTTAATTAGATAATGTCAAGGCAAAAACATACCAAAAGCTGTGAACATGTTACCAAGACAAGCAAAAGATCGAGACAAGAAAAACGTGTACCTGTATGTATGCAAGGCTCCAAATAAACCATTTAGACATTCATTTCATTCATTCAATCAATAATTCATTCATTCATTCAATCGTCTAAATAGCCACTGTCGTTACTTTGCCTTTGTATATTTGCTTTCTACAGACAATCGCTGCAAACACTGGTGATGACAGTCAGTCAAAAATCACAACTGACTAAGAATTCCAACAGATTTCACGTCAAAATCGATAATCAAATAGCGATCAACCAGAATTTCGTACGCATAATACAAATTTGCGCCCTCTACAGGCACGTCTCCTAGCGCGAGCGCCCTCTACAGGCGCGTCTCCTAGCGCGAGCGCCCTCTACAGGCGCGTCTCCTAGCGCGAGCACCCTCTACAGGCGCGAGCGCCCTCTACAGGCGCGTCTCCTAACGCGAGCGCCCTCTACAGGCACATCTCCTAGCGCGAGCGCCCTCTACAGGTGCATCTTCCAGCGCGAGCGCCCTCTACAGGCACGTCTCCTAGCGCGAGCGCCCTCTACAGACGCGTCTTCCAGCGCGAGCGCCCTCTACAGGCGCGTCTCCTAGCGCGAGCGCCCTCTACAGGCACGTCTCCTAGCGCTAGCGCCCTCTACAGGCACGTCTCCTAGCGCGAGCGCCCTCTACAGGCACGTCTCCTAGCGCTAGCGCCCTCTACAGGCACGTCTCCTAGCGCGAGCGCCCTCTACAGGCACGTCTCCTAGCGCTAGCGCCCTCTACAGGCACGTCTCCTAGCGCGAGCGCCCTCTACAGGCACGTCTCCTAGCGCTAGCGCCCTCTACAGGCACGTCTCCTAGCGCGAGCGCCCTCTACAGGCACGTCTCCTAGCGC